GAATGAAGCATGAGCAGAAGCAAAAAGAGTTTGGGAGGGAGAACGGCAGGGGCAGTGGAGGGTCCGAGCAGGTGCAGGTGCAGGACGAGTACAAGGGGGGGAGGAAGAGGAGGAGGAGGAGAAGCAGGAGGAGAAGCAGGAAGAGAAGCAGGAGGAGGAGGAGGAGAAGCAGGAGGAGGAGGAGGAGAAGCAGGAGGAGGAGAAGCAGGAGGAGGAGGTAACGTTTGCCAAGGGTGGCGAGGAAGATGACAGGACACTCTCTGCGAGTACTGAGCATGGCGATCCACGTGGAGGGAACTTGGATGGCGACTGGGTCGAGCGACAAGTCAATCTGCGTTTGGCACACAGAGACAGGACTGCTTCGGAGCCGACTGAAAGCCTTCAATGGCACAGTCTTCTCCCTCCAGTTCCTCCCGTTCGGTCCCTTCCTCTGCGCAGGATCTCTCGATAAGACAATCAAGGTGAGGAAGAGCGAGTGGGGAGGGAGAGAGGAGGAGGAGGAGGAGGAGGAGGAGGAGGAGGAGGAGGAGGAGGAGGAGGAGGAGGAGGAGGATTTTAGAAGACAGAAGGACGACAGGGGAAAGAAGGAGATGAGGAGATGAGGAGAATGGATGAAACAAATCTATGGAAGTGGAGAGGAGGAGACGGGACGAGACGGGACGAGACGAGGGGAAAGAGGAAGAGTTGCTGGTGGTTTGCAGTGATCAAAGCTCAGCATTTCTCAGGTGATCAACGTTATGACGGGGGAAGTGAAGTTTTCTCTCTCAGCTCATACCTCAGCTGTCACTTCCCTCAGTGTCTCCAGCCTCGGCGACATGGCGTCAGCATCCAACGACGGTGATGTGCGAGTCTGGGACCTCCGGCTGCCATGGAATCGAAGCATCGGCAGCCAGATCTCCGGTCTGACCATCACCTCCTCCTTCACTACCTCCTCTCCTCCTGCTCCTCCTCTTCCTCCTCCTCTTCCTCCCCTTCTTTTCCTTCTTTCTCTCTTTCTTTTCTCTCTTTCTCTCCTCCGCTCTTCACCTCTCCTGTGCATCTCTCCTCCTCCCGTTTCCTCACTCTCTCTTCCCCTTCAGCTGCTCACCTTCTTCCCCTTCCCCTTCCTCCTCCCTTCAGTCGCTGATCGCCCGCCAGTTTGTGAGGGGCACACGGCAGAGGTCACGTGCTGCGAGTTTTCTCGGGAAGGAGGAGCGCTGCTGAGCGCAGCCAAGGACAAGGTGGGGGAGGAAGAGGTGGTGGAGGAAGAGGTGGGGGAGGAGGAGGTGGGGGAGGAGGAGGTGGTAGGAAGAGGTGGTAGGACAAGGTGGGGGAGGGTGGGGGAGGGGAGGAGGAAGGAGAAAGAGGAGGACGAGGAGGAGAAGGGAGGAGGATGTGTGAAGGGGAGGCCAGAGGAGGAGGAGGCAAGCGGAGGCAGCAGGGCAGGAGGGCTCATGGTGTGTTGGTAGCGGCTGATCCTATGGGACCCGAGCAACGGAGTTCCTCTGCGTTTCTTCGCTGGACACAGCGACAGGATCGTCAAGGTACGAGCGCTGAAGGAAGAAAAGGGAAGAGATGTCGACGAAAGGAGGAGGGGAAGACGAGGAGGAGGAGGGGGGGGGGGGGAGAGAGAAAGGAAGAGGACAAGGTCGAAGAGGTGATGGTGGAGGTGATAGACAAGGAGAAAACAGTGCAACAATAACGTTCACTGACAAAGGCAAGAAAACTAGTGGAATGATGAGCAGAGCAGAGCAGAGCGGAGCGGAGCGGAGCAGAGCAGAGCAGAGCAGAGCAGAGCAGAGCAGAGCAGAGCAGAGCAGAGCAGAGCAGAGCGGCTGACGATGTTTCAGTGCATGTTTCTGAACAGTTTCGGATGCGATCCGAACGCGTCGACTCAGGGAAGGTCAGGGCGAGTGATAGGAAAGATGCGGTTCCTCGTGTCGGCAGCTCAGGATGGCACTGTCCGTGTGTGGGACCTGATAGCTGGTGATACAGTGCTGCTGCTGCTGCTGCTGCTGCTGCTGCTGCTGCTGCTGCTGCTGCTGCTGCTGCTGCTGCTGCTGCTGCTGCTGCTGCTGCTGCTGCTGCTGCTGCTGCTGCTGCTGCTGCTGCTGCTGCTGCTGCTGCTGCTGCTGCTGCTGCTGCTGCTGCTGCTGCTGCTGCTGCTGCTGCTGCTGCTGCTGCTGCTGCTGCTGCTGCTGCTGCTGCTGCTGCTGCTGCTGCTGCTGCTGCTGATCCTCCTCCTCTGCTGCATCTCCCGCCGCCGCTCCTCCTCCTCCTCCTCCTCCATCCTCCATCCTCCTCCTCCTCCTCCTCCTCCTCCTCCTCCTCCTCCTCATCCTCCCCTTCGGCCTGTGCGACAGTTTTCCTCCTCATCCTCCTCCTTTCTTCTCTGCTGCTGCAGCAGCTGCTGCTGCTACTTTATGCTGAAGGAGAGCACAGGATTTGACTGCTGTTACTGCCACGTCGGGGAGAGTCTTGTGAGGAGGAGGAGGAGGAGGAGGAGGAGGGGGAGGAGGACAGGGAGGGGAGGAGAGGGGGAGGGGCAGGCAATGATCGTATGAGCAGACATGTATGAGTATGTCGGACGACGAGAGCAAAATTTGTGCAGGAGACGTTAGAGGTGAGTGCCTGTCATTTGAGGAGGAGGGAGGAGAGGGAAGGAGAAAGAGGGTTCAGAGAGCTGCATAGAGGAGCAAGCGATGACTGTAATGGACAGGAAACGTTCATCTGCTCTCGCTGCAACTTCTGTAACCACAGGGGGAGAAATTCTTTATGAGTTCTTCATAAATACAAACAAGACGCACAAGAAGAGGAGGGTTCAGGGTTGAGAGATCGTGAGCCTTTCAAGCGCTGGTGTTGTCTGCGCCGTTGCAGTGCTCGATGATCTTGATCTTGATCATCGTGATGACGTAGATCTCTCGCTGGTAAGGTGGGATCTGCACCAGGGTTAGCGACCATGGAGGAGTCGAGCAAGAGCTACAGAGGAGGTAAAGAGGTGGGGATAGGGAGGTCAAGAGGAGGGGATAGTGAGGGGTGAGGAAGAGGCAGGGAGGAGGAAGGAAGGGGTCGAGGAGGGGTGGGACCTCGAGGGTGTAGGCAGCCTTCTCATCATTGTAGGTTGACTCGGAGATCGTCTTGTCTCCTGCCAGCTTCTCGCGCTCGAGCTGAGCAGCCGACATCTTCTCCGTCGCCTGCTTGAACGTCAACGACAAGAATTTCATCCTTCCTCACTGACCTTGTCCGCTGCGTTGGAAAGAGACACAAGCTGCTGCTCCCACTCCACCTGGCGGCCGTCGAGTCAGCCGCAGCATTCCTGAGCAACTGAACTTACAAGCTTGGCCTCAGCATCCTCAACGAGCTTCTTGGCCTTGGCATCAACCTCGTCGATGATGTTCATCCTGGTGTCGAGGTCCTGCAGCAGACAATGAGGAGGAACAAGCAAGACTGGTCAAGATCTCACATCCAACATCTCCTTCAGGATCTTCGCCACTTCCTCCGTCTCGCTGTAGATGGGGAGGGTGGTTGTCGCGAGCTTCTCAAGTCTCTGAAGCAGAATTTCAGGATTCAAGATTTAGTGAGTGAATGCCAACGGCTCCGACGACGTTGAGCTTGCTGGAGAACCCAGGCACGCTGGCAAGTTTGACATGTTGCAGCTGTCTGACCTTCTGCATCAAGCGAGCTCTGGTCTTGTCCACATCCTCCTTCATGTTGTACCTGAAAGTCCCTCAGCCCGGAAACGTCAGGACGCGATGGCTCACGGGTCAGACACTCCAGTGTTGGGATCCTTGATGGAATCCCTTCCTCCAGCAGCGATAGACTTGTCTGTCGCCTTGATGTCGCTCAGAACACCTAGTGATTGCAGTTGAGATCAAATCATCTCAATAAACAAACAGTTTAAGTACCGAGAAGTCTCATGATTTCCTTGATGAGCTCTCTTTCGTCGAGAATGTCTTGTCTCTCAGCAGCATGACGGGCCAACGTGTCATCGTAATCTTTCTTGGCCTGCTTGTATGCGGTGTTCCACTTCTCGTACTCGTTTCTTGCAAAATCAGCCCCTTCACGTGCCTCCTTCGCCTTCTCGATGGTCAGACGATAAGTAGACTCAGAGTCAAGCCAGGAAGAGAGCGCCTGTTTCCATTCATCACTGACTTTTCCCATCGTGATGTTGGCAGAGAGCTCTTCTCCTCCGAGTTTCTTCAAGAGCTGGTCGAACTTTTCAATGATGTAATCCTTCTTCTTGCAAAGAGTCGAGTCTTCCGCAAGCTCAGTTCCAAGTCTGGGGTATCCCTCAGCAAGCATCTGAGTCTTTGCCCCCTCGCCATCGTCCAAGTCAAGGAGAGTGCTAGGAGAGTTGTGCCAGGCGTCGAGCTTGCGCTTCATCTGCGTCACGGTCATCTTGTCTCCATTCCTGAGGAATTCCAGGGCCAAGTTTCTCAAGCTCTGCTCAGAAGGAGAAACGAGAAGAGAGGATCGGTGAGAGGATCTTCCAAGAAGGCCAGCAACAGCCAACAGAACGAAGACGACAGAGGTTGCGATGGCTGCCACCCTTGTAGCCTTTCCTGCATCAGGCGTCAAATGCAGATTACTATTCAAAATACCACAGAAAGTCAAACTACTTCACTGAGGGTCAGTGAACATGCAGACAACCAAGTGGTAAGATGACCTCACACTCACATCTCTTCAAGCATTCACAAACTCTCACTCATTGCCATCCCTCCTTCTATCGACATTAAAAAAATTTCATCGTTCCCCCACAGTCCAAGATCCCCTCATCTTCTCCTTCTCAGTCTTGAATCTTCACACCGCATGTCCTTGCATCATCTCAACATTTTCCTGTTTGCACGTGTCTTCTTCCTCTCTTCCATTGTTTACCTCCTCGTGGAATCGGTGCCATGGGCTTCACCGCTTCATAGTTCGGCAGCGCCATCGTCGCTCCCGAAATAGCACCACCCCCACCCCCTGAAACCCAATTGTGTACCCTACCTAGACAGCTTAGCGATGTACCCCCACCCCCCATGAAATCGTCTTTTGTACCCCACCCTAGGATGGAATGTTGACAACCTCCATTCAAGTCGTTATCAAATTTGATCGCTGTACCCCACCCCACTCGGAGCTGACAGCACCTGGTTCCGTACCCTACCCCCTTTGCCAGGATGACCACCCCTATCTCCCTATTCCCGATTTAGAACAAGCGAGCGGCTCCGCCTCTTGTCATCCCGGGGGAATCTGAGGCTGGCTCAGTGCTAGGCTCCACTGCGGCAATCGGATTAATAATTATTGCCAACTTCCGACCGAGGGCCCCGGGGCTTGAAAGCCTTTGGCCGCCCCCGGCGTGGTGAGGCTGTCTCCTAAGAGCGACACTACTAACTGAGTACCAGGCTCCCACACGCCCGGTTCTCAAACGGTAGGCCCGGCGGTACTCCCCGGCCGGCGGAGTCCCACGGCGGTGATCATGCGGCCGCGATGAAACTTTTCATCCGAGTGTCGGAAGGGACTCAGGCCGCGCTCTCAGGCCCTGAGTCGAAAAAAACAAATCTTGCCAATGAAAGTTTTCCTATGGGCGCCCGCCGGCCGGCCGCCGTGACTCCGCTATGGACTCGGGCCGCTGCTGAGCCTCGGAGCGCCGCCGCCGGGGCGCCCGGGCCCGGCCCTTAGGCTCCGCCAGGCCCTCCGTGACTCAGTCGGAGGCCCTGCCACAGTGAGGCCGGGCCGCTGGCCGGGCACTGAAGTGCCCGGCGCCCACACGGAGTCCGATCCGCGGCGCGGCGGCACTCACGGCCGCCCGCCGCCGGGCCCGGCCCCGGCGGGGGGGCGCCCGGCGCCGTGACCGGGCCCGCCCCGGGGGCCCCGCGAGGCTGGCCCGTGCCACGGTCACGGCGTGACGGACGGGTGAGCCCGCCGCCCGCTCAGCCGCTGAGTGCCGCGCTACACCGTCCGGCGATCGGACGGCAGTGAGCCGGGCGGCCACCGCCCGGCCGGCCGGCGGCCGGGTGACCGTACGGTACGGTACTACCGTCGCGTGACGTGCCACGGTCACGGACTGCCACGGTCCGGACGCCGAGGCCGGAGTCCGCCGGAGTCCGTCCGACTGTCACAAGTTAGGGCCTGAACTAAGTTGCGCGAGCATAACTTAGCATAGCGTTGCCGTTCCGTATCCTTGTCGGATCAGTCAACCAGGGTGGTTCTCATAGTAGTTTTAGTCAAATTAAAGCGGCAAGAGAAAATTGAGCTAAAAATGTTTGCTCCGTCAATTTATGTACCTTTTTCGTTGCCAGGGGCTGCCGGGCCATCCAAGACGAGAAGGGCAATGTTGAGCAAAACCTTCCTCTATTTGATATGAATAGGCGTGTATAGTTGACTAAATAATCATGAGGTGGCTCGGGGTAGGTATTCAAATGATTTGAATCTTTCCAACGGCCTCCAGCCCGTGTTGAGGGGTAGGGGGTAGTGCAAACTTCTCGTATCAATCTAAAACACTTGTAAACGACCTCACACTTGCCCCGGTCTCTTCCCTATCCCACTACTCCCAATGTACTCAGGGACTGTTTGCTCAGCTGCTGAGCGCAGTCAAGGACCATGGCCCCTCAATGTTAACTCCTGAAAGTGCCAGGCAAGTACTGAGATCAAACAGCTCAATTCTTGGCTGAGAATCACACCTATAGTAGGTTGAATGTGAAAGGTATGCATCGAAATTTGCACTTGCGTACCAAAGCACTCATCAGCTATAGGTGCTGGCTATTCACTTCCAGAAGAAGGGAAACATGAAGGGAACCGATCAGAGAAGCAACCTTCGAAGACATAAAGGAAATTCGATTCTCCTTGTTGTGTTGACGCCCTAGCTTCCTTTACCTGAATGCTTCGTCGGTTGAATATGAAACATATTTCAAGAGACTTCCTGTTGCTTTGCCATGATTGCGTTTTTTGAGGCTTCTCCCAACCTATTGTAATATGGCGGTGTCATTTGTGAGGAGGTGAGGAGCTTGAGAGGCTGGGGGAAGGAGAGGGGAGGGGTTGGAAGGGAAATGGACGCCTGGGAGGCCAGGCTAGTTGATATGCCTGATCGCTGCGAGAGGAGATGCCGGAGGAGAGACTGTTTACTCAAGACCACTAGCGAGGAAGGCAGGAGGGCGAGGAGGACATGAGAGGAGAGGAAGGAGAAAGCTACGGGTAGAGACGGTTTACTTGACAGCACTAATGAGGAAGGGATGCTTCAGAGCCTCCAGTGCCGTAATCCTCGTGCGGGGATCGATGTCGAGGCAGCAGTTGAGGAAGTCCCAGATCGCATGTTTCTCATCCACCTCCAGCCAGTCCTTGCATCCCGCATGCGCGCCCAGGGAGCTTGACAAGGTCCGCCATGTTTGCTTGAAACCGCGGGCATAGCTGAGATGCAGTTCCAATGGTGGAATCTGAATGACATCAAGTTAGCAACCTCAGGCCTCCCTCCTCCATATCACCCTCATCCTCATCCTCTTGATACAACAACGCCGACGACAACAATTTTACCTTAACGTCGAGCTTGAAATCTTCGATAACATCTCTGATCTTATCTCTGTACTGACCCGTATACCCATAGTTGTGCTTCCACACAGCATCCATGCTCTTGATGTACATGCGCAAGCTGCTCAGACAGTCAGACAAGCGCACTTCCAAGGTACACAAAGAGATCTCCATCGTTGCCGTGACTATGTCGTTATGCTGGAACCATTGGAACTGTGTCGTGCGGCACAGCAGGGTAAGCAGTACTACCCCAGCAGCCCACACGTCCACTGCTGTGGTCTGGCACTGCATGCCCATGAGCACTTCGGGCGCTCGGTATCCCCGAGTTCCCGCGCGGTTGACTGGACGTTCGAATTTGACCCCTGAGTTCCTCACTGTCACCGATGCGTTCGTCTTGCTGACGCCCAACATGATCCGCCTCTTCGCCATCTGCTGCGCCATCTCTAGTTTCTCCTGCTCCTTTTGATTCCGCGAGGAGCGAGAGCTGGCCGTAGAAACCTCACAGGGCAAGATGTTGCCGATGCTGCGGCCTGATGAATGCATTTGTTTCTATGCCAGCCCAAAGTCCACAAGCAAGTACTTCTTATTCCTTCTGTCGTAGAGCCTCCGAGGAAGTTATTCAATTTCACGTCTCGATGTATAATAAATGTATAATGTATAAGACAGTTCTTGCTCAAGACCGAGTTTAATGCACACTGTGACACGAAACCACTGAGAATTGAGGCAGCACCGTCTGCACATGAGACGTGACTCCCGACTGTCACAGTGGTATGCTAGAATATGAAACTCAAGCATCATTGCAACGCCGCCGCTGTTCATCACACGGACGGCCCACTGCCCGGTACCGCCGGGCATTGCCGCCGCGTGGGGCCGCCGCCTGGCTCGGAACTTGACTCTCACCCGGGTGACCGTTCAACCGTTCAACGGTTGACTCACCGGTAGCCTTGAAGCCTGGGACCGGTCCGCCGGAGAGTCCGGCTCGCCCGGCCGCGGCCGTCGGACCTTGAGTTTTCAGTGTTCAATCATAACTGATGGCAGCGGGGCTATCTGATCGGACTGGCCGCACTGCCGATGATGGCTGGCATGCTGACTCGGATCCCGGCGGATGATTAAGAGTCGGCAGTGCCGACGGTGACCGTGTCACGCGCCGGGCTGCGGCCGCGCCGGACTCGACTCGGAGGCTCGGAGCCCGCGTCCGACTCGGAGGCTGGCCTGCCTGGCATTGCCGCGCCCTGAGCCCCGGGCGGCGCTGACTCATGGCATGCCGGAACTTGGAACACTCAGTGCGCCCGAAATGATTCAGGGCCACAAAAAATATTTGGAACAACTTGAAAATTGAGGGGTTGTTCGGCCTGAAATCTTTGTGTGTCACGCAAGCAACACGGTCCAACCTACATGGAACAACGTGAAAATTGAGGGGGTGTTCGGCCTGAAATCTTTGTGTGTCACGCTCCTCCAAGTTTCAAGTTGTTCCATATAGTTTGGAGCAAGTCCAACCTACATGGAACAACTTGAAAATTGAGGGGGTGTTCGGCCTGAAATCTTTGTGTGTCACGCTCCTCCGGCCTGAAATCTTTGTGTGTCACGCTCCTCCAAGTTTCAAGTTGTTCCATATAGTTTGGAGCAAGTCCAACCTACATGGAACAACTTGAAAATTGAGGGGGTGTTCGGCCTGAAATCTTTGTGTGTCACGCTCCTCCGGCCTGAAATCTTTGTGTGTCACGCTCCTCCAAGTTTCAAGTTGTTCCATATAGTTTGGAGCAAGTCCAACCTACATGGAACAACTTGAAAATTGAGGGGGTGTTCGGCCTGAAATCTTTGTGTGTCACGCTCCTCCGGCCTGAAAGTTTCCCGCCACTGTGAACTCTGCGAAGCCGTACAGATATGAGGATGTGCAGCGTTTGACAGAGCAAGACAAGTCAGGTGAGCATTTATCTCTTTTTTTTTTCATCGAAATTATCACGGGAAGAGATCCAAATGACGTGTTCTTGATGCAGGTTGGAATGATTTGCAGCCTTTGGCAACTTGTATGAGATTGATGAACGGGTGAAGACTTTGGCAAGTGCCCAACCAATATTACAAACCGGTATCCAGGAGTACGTAGACGTACCAGTAAGCCGCCCAGCATACAAAACTCTCGAGACAATGGCTGCATACGAAGGGGTTTTCGACACATCGCAGAACTGTCCCGATGTGAAAAGGTTGTGACATGAAATGGGCACAAACAAAGATAAGTTCAGGACTCGGGAGTCGATCAGGTCTAGGCAAAATATTGACATGGTCATCTCACTGCATGGAAGAACATGCAAAACTGAAGGAAAAGCTCAACAGAAAGTTCTAAATGAACATCTACAGCGCATTTTAGCAGTCACGGTCGGAGCAGGTTGATGCTTGAAACAAAGATGATCCTCAGTACAATCGAATGATGACAAGTAAGTCCCGTGGTTCGTGAAGGATTCTTCATCCAATTCTTAAGGATGTGTTGGAACGATGAAACATTTTGCAAATCACCAATTTCATCACACTGACTGATGCATCATGTAAATATTACTGGTGTGAACTTGCATCAGATTCTGTTCATCGGATGAACCGCTACCAAGCAGTTGATGTCACAGCAAACAAGAGAGCCGTTTTGAAGATGCTGATATTCCTGACCGTAGAGCATTCAAGATGTGGCCACATGTCACATGCTTCTTGGTTAACGCAGATACACCCTCGCCAGGCAAAAGATGGAACGTCTTCAGGATTACAGGGAGGTCGGTTGTGCTTGTACCCTGATTGTAACTCTTCTAATAAAGATATGATAACCTGAATGTGCAATTCTGTTTGTTGATTCACAGTGTTTGCGACTCGATTGCAATCATCGAGTGCTTGCTCTGTTGAACAAGGCACTCCTCTGTAGAGCCATGCGACAAGAACACTACAGTTGCACGGTAGCATTGCGACACCAAGACAGGATTGATCCGATGAACGTCTCATTTATTGATACGCAAAGGCGTCATCTGCACATTGTTTCATTTCTGACTAGGTTTCTGTGCAATCGAAATCCTTGTGAAAATATCATGAACGAGGAAAAATTTGAAGCGAAACGGAAAAATCATCGAAATATGATCATGGATATAGTGATTCATGATCAACAACGGTTCTCTACAGTCATCTATGCGGGCAGGAACAGTCATCTTCTGTGCAAACGTCTCTTCATGTATCGTTGAACGGTTGAGTGCATGTAAGACTTGCCTCCATAGAAAGGTGAAGTGCATGAATCCTGACTGTAAGACTAGAAGAATTGAAAGCAAGTGATGACATGAGAACACATATCTAGACAGAAAAGTCGCTCAAGGTACAGCTGGATACAAATTTCTCACAAATCACAGTCATGCATTTGAGCGCAACGTGCAACCTACGGCAATTTGAATAAAGGGTCAAGCCAGAGTTGATTCTGTTCAATGGTGTATCGATTATCAATTCCTTACCTGATCATAAAAATTTCATCTTGTCTTCGAAGAATATTTGCAAGTACACCCGCGGATTGTTTGAACCTAGGGTGCATATTCCATTGCAGGATGGATGATTCAAAACCTTGGCCCAACCTGTAGAGTTGAGAAAGAAGCTCGATCATCTCTTACAGGTATGATATGAGATCTTCATCTCATTTCTATCTCAGTTGGGTTGGATTCGAAGTCTCTCAATATCAAGGTTCATCCTGGTGAGTCAGGAAGGCACCATTTCATCGCTTCTTGCTCGTCCAGGGAGAGGGGGCTTGGGGAATGAGAAATGGGGGTTACCCCCACCCCCTATTGTAGAGTTTCAAACTGGTTCAAAGGTGGGTAGTTGAGGGTGCTCCATACCCACCCCACCACCCAAAATGACTCAAACGGAGGGGTTCTCGGATCCGAAGGAGTCCCGCCTCCATCACCCCCTCTCATTTGAATTGAATGGTTCAGGCCGACCCCACATACAGGCTTGCAGTTTTCTTATGTATGCCCATATGATTTGATCGGACAGGCCCCAGGTTCAAGGGATGAAGCAATCACCAGCATGCTTGAAGATTTTTCATGGGAGTGGGGTTATACTTGTACCGTGGGTGTGTACAATACATAGGGGAGAACCCCGAATGGTATCAAAAGAGTACCAAAGTCACATGGTTCGGACTGTACTAACTGGTACCAAGAAATTGTACTCAAGAAGACCCTACCCCTGAAAAAGTCCTGCTTGGCTCTTCGTGATTTGAATTCGGAACACGGTCGGAAGACCCACCCCGCCCCCACATGAGGCGTGGTATGCGTGGATTTGAATCTACCACCCTCACCGCGAAACGTTTTAGAGCTACAAGGTCAATTGAGAAAGGCAACGCTATGGAGAAAAGACAGCGAGAACCCGGCGAACCGGGGGCAATCCTGCCAACCGAGTCACTGAGTCCGGTGTACAGTCCCCCAAACAGGCTTTGAAATTTAACTGATACCTTCACTTAATGCGCGCCGCAGGACTGCTTGAATCCCCCCGCGCCGCCCGGCCGCGGCGGGGGCCAGTGCCAGCACTCGTGTCGCTGTGGCACGCTAAGGAAATAACAGTACTAAGCCCGGCTGCCATGACCGGCAGATGATACCGAGTCGCCACACCGTGACACGCCTCGGTTCTAGTGAAATTTACTGCCCGACTCAGGCCATTACGTCATGATCTTGGATTTTGAGTCAACGCCGGGCCCGCCTTATCAGTGACTAATAAAACTTACTCTTGGAACCTCTGCATCCATTTACGGATGCAAATCCTCCTCCATCCTTGGAGGCGCTACCCCCCGAAATAAAGGGGAGGTGGGGAATGCTAGGGGGTAGGGGTACTTTAACTATAAACACGAAGGGTACGCCTGGTGCTACTTATTAGCAATGTGAGGGATGACATAAGTCGAGAGGGTGGGGTACTTTTTCACGAGGAAAGAGGGGTACTTGAAGGTAGTTAGGTCTATCGAGGTGTGTGGTAAAGTATTGCTGACAGTCAACAAAGTAGGGTGGGTAACGAAAGAATTTCTAGACATGGGGGTAGTGAACTAAGAGAGGGGTAGGGGTTGTGTATCTGCTCACTAACAAGCGAGGGGTGTCAGTAAAAATCATCTCAGAGGCAGGGGTAGTGAAAATAAGGTTCATTTTCATGAGGTGGGTAGAGGACTATCAAATCACCCCACCCCTCTTCCCTGGCCCTGCTGGACCGATAAAAGTCCCGCGAAAAGCATTCTGGTCGTAGTCGCTCCATCCTCGTTCGCAGTCGCTCCTCCACCACCACCACCGCCTCCTGCTCCTCCACCTGCTGCTGCTGCTGCTCTACTCCTATCGATCCTACGAGTCTTTACAAGGGCTAAGAGCTCCTCCCATACACCGCTTGCCTCAAATGATGATGTGTCAAACCCGGGTCAGCGCTGTGCTTCTGATCAGCTTCTGCCTCGCAACCTCGGTTGCAGCACGAGAGAGAGGAGGGCACTGGTACGAGAGCATCACTGAGACCTCCTCCTGCCCGAGCAAGAACGGAGTCGTCTGTGGCACTGCTGCTGCGACATGCACCTACACCACGGAAACCGAAAATGAGCGAAGAGGATGGAGAGTCGTCACAGTCGTTCATCAGGTTGGGCGTTGTACGTGCCCAGATTCCACCTTCCTCGGAGGAGGCAACTTGCCTTGCGTCCAGCCGCCTGTTGCAGCCTCCATGGATCAGGAGAGGCATGATGCATACGTCTCTGAAAGGCTTCTCGAAATGTCCAAGTGCAACGCAAGCTTTCCTGCACTTTGCCCCAAGGAGGGATGGGTGACAGCGAGCAATGTCGGCATGTGCATGAAGACTTTGAAGGATTGCACCGACAACAACAGCACCCTCGTCACCCTTTACTCTGAGCGACAGTCTAGCTGCAATGCCAGTCAGCGCTACTGCGACGAGATTGGATGTGTTCCCCTGAGTGTTCAGTGTCCTGCTGTCTCCACTCGCTGCTCTTCCGACAGGCCCTACCGTTGCCCCAACCTTGAGTGCAACTCTGCTCCTGACTTCTGTGGAAACACTTCCTACTGCCCTGCAGACAAGCCAGTGCTGTGCATGGACGGACTTTCTTGCGCTGCGAACCTTTCTTCGTGCGCGCAGCGTGTCTTCTGGGATGGATGTGGCGCTGGATTGGTGCAGTGCTCGCAGCTCGATGGTGTGTGTGCATCCTCGGCAGCCGAGTGTGCGAATCTCACCGGTTGCCCAACTGGTCAGAAGGTGTGCGGAGTGCTGAGGGATGCGAACAACACGGTTGAACTGAACGAGCAAGGGCTGCCCATGCACATCTGCAAGACCGATTGCTCAAGCCCTCCTCCAAAGCGCATGGAGCAGCCAGAGCATCACGAGTCCGACAGCTCGCACGATCACGAGATCGAAGTGCGAGGGCGCGACAATGAGTATCATGGTGGCATGCGAGTTCGCAAAGGGTCTCACAAGCGCATGCGGGGACGTGACCGTAGGAGCTACTCGGATGCAGCTGTGAACTTCACCTTCTCCAACCCCCCCGACTCAGTCGTTCAGTACGGAGCCTTCAGACATCACCATTCGGAGAGGCGCTTGAGGGGAAGGCCGCTGAACATCAACCCCTCGGCTGAGATCGAAGTGACTTCGGGGTTGGAGGTACACATGCCCGTCCACGAGGACAGCATCAAGGACGCGAACTCTTGTCAGCTCGCCGCCTCGTCCCTCGCCATCTACTCAGCTCGTGACGCCACCAATGAGAACGAGGTTCCCGAGTACGTGCAGTCTTGCGAGTCCCAGTACGTCAATGGCGTCTGCGTGTGCATGGTCAACGTCACTCACTTCAGCACCTTCGCTGTCTCCATCTCGCCCGGTGCAGTTCCCGCAGCTCCTTCCTCTGCCCTTGCCAGCACTACCTACAGCCCAACTGGCAGCCCCGCTGGAGCTGCGGCATCGCCCAGCACTGTGACTGGGGCCAATGCCCCCAAGGCTTCTCCTGCCTCGCGGGTGGTTACCAATGGTCTTATGATTGTTGTGCTGGTGATGAGCAGCTTGTTGTTGATTCGTTAAATGAATAGTGTCATTGATGTTTAGTCGTGTGATGGTGTTTTTTGATAATGACTACCGAAGAATAAATGAAAACTCTTGAAGTCGCATACTAGTACGGCGGCGACCAGGCTTTCATTTCAAAGGCCCAACCGCCGTGACTCACACTGAATCTGTACAGTCATGGCATGTCGGGAGTCCCCGGGCAGCGCGGTGAGCCTTACTAAGTTAGCCGCGTGCAGGCGCAATGGCGGAACTTGAGATGGATTGAATGATCTTTTGAATGCATGTTTTCCATGTAGTGATGCCTAAAGAACTTAAAACGATTTGATGAAGATTGCATCATGTTGCAGAATGACTCGGATCGGATGCCGGGCGGCCCGCCCCCGGCCGCCCGGGCCGGGCCGGGGCCTGCGCTGAGTGCTTGAAGACCGTTGGATTGTAACCGGAATAACGTTTGGTAACGATACGTAACGTGACTTTGAGGCTCCTCGCGGCCCCCCATGGCAGGGGCGATGGCGAGCAGTATGACTTTCGCTCCTCCCCCTCCTCTGCTGCTTCTGCTCTCCTCCTGCTCCTCTCCTTTTCCATACAAGTCTGCTCCATCCCTCTCGGCAAAGAGTTTCTCTCAGCATTCCTCGGCTCCTGGTGTGACTTCACTTGCTATGGCAGCAAAGTCCAAGGTAAAAAGAGATCGAAAGTTATGATGAAGGTAGTAGACGCTGATTTGTCGCCAGGGATCCTCCTCCTCGTTCAAAGGTTTTGGTAGTGTTCCCACTGAGCTCCTTGGCCGAACCCCGGAAGACAGTGAAAGGTATCAGGGATAAGTGCAAGGGGGAGTAGGTTGTTGACAATCATGTAGCTGCGCTTGCTGCTCTGGAGCCTCATACGGAGAGTGCTGCAAACAGATCCATGATGGGGTCAGATGGCCTTCAACTCCTCTTGAGATGATCAGGAGCAGGTGAGTGCACGTGCGAGGACGTTAGACAGGGAGCAACACATGTTGTCAGGTACTCAGCTTATGCGTATCGTCTTCCCACATGGATTATGGATTCAACCCATTCAACTAATCCCGACTGGCGATCTCAGAGGAACAAGTGGCGCAATGAACTTTTAGGTACAACATCCCTTGCTTCCATCTCCCTCCCTGCCTTGCTCGTTCGCTTCCGGGGTTCCTCCCTTGCCAAGCGTCACCTGCTGTTTCAGGCTTCTGCGACGGTTTCGACTTTGTCCGTTTGGAGGTCCCACTGTCTGGCTTGCCATGAGCCCTAAAATTTGTACAGATCCTGAAGGAGGAGGGAGGGCAAGACAGTGACGAGCATTTCATCGAGTTCATCGCTAGGCTCAGAGCTAGTAAGCGAGGGCTGAGTTGCGACCTGAGTGACGCGGGTTGTCTTTCAGAGGAGAAGGCACCTGAGAATGCTCCCAAGGGAGTGAAACAAGTAAGACGATTAACATTCTCACGCTTCTAAGCCTATTGAAAAGACACTTCGACGAGTTAAACTCCATGGAGCTTCCGATTCATCGTCCGCCGATTTCAGGTTGGCTTGTCTAGTCATGTGGTATGAGAGCTTACAACGGATCAGGGAGAGAAGCAGATTTGTGAAGGAGGATGGCAAGTGGTTCTACGCCTCGGGTGACGTCGACTTCGACCCCGAGGTTTTACACAGAGCAGAGATGGAAGTGCGAAGGGGAGGAGAGGAACTGAAAGATGGCAGGTGACTTTGGAGAGGCCAAACCCACTTCAGCAGAATCAATGAAAGTCGATGGAACCTTTGCGGGGAAAGCTTGTATCATTCTCCCATAAATAAAAAGCTCATTTGCTTTCAATTCTGTCCATCGCTTCACTCCTCTTTCACAAATGCCAGTGTTTATATCTCTTTTGAAAAAAAACTCAGTACAACATTTTATCAAAGTTTCACATCGTTGCACAAAGTAGAAGTCAATGCTCGAATGTTGGTATATGACCAACCGATTCATTGTAGCTACGTTCTTCATAATCGTATTAAAATTACACACTGCTATGCTAAACAATAATTGGCCCACAGGCCGAAACCTTGTGCGCCATGTGGGAATTTTCATCATTTCTGTGCTTGGTTGCGATCAATCCTTAGTCAAATGCTCAAATTGCGTTTCAAGCTTCATGAGCTCCGCTCCACTTAACGATGACAGATCAAAAGCATCAACCCCGCTATTCCCACCAGGCAAGGGCTCCATCAACGCATCTCGCATCCTCTCCGCCTCCATCAATGACGACTTCCGCCTCGGCTGCTCTGCCTCTGGCGCCTTCGTCTCTACCACCGCCCCTACCGCCTTGGCGCCCTCAAACAGCGCCCAGAGCTCTCGCTTCTCCTCCTTTACGGTCTTTGCCGGTGCGTGCAAGAAGTCTGACGGGTCGAGCTCCGACAGCCTGCGGCGATGGCGTGAGCGAGTGTCTTGCTGCTCGCTCTCTCGAGCTCTTCCTACCTTGAGAGCCGGCGGGTCTTGGGGTCCCACACGCGGTCTCGGTCGACGGGTCTTGTGGAGTAGTTGGGGTCGAGGTGAGGGTTGAGGAAGTAGTCGACCTTATAAGCATGAGTAGGAAGCTGCCCGCCGACTCGAGTGAAGGACGAGCAATCTCGCCGTGAAGTCATCTGCAGCAGCGAAGATCATTATCAGGGATGGCGGGGTAACAAACATTGATTTCAGCTTACCATTTCATGTCGGTAGGCGATCTGCTTGCAGTTCATCGTTTCTTGTTTCGTTTTGTTTGCAAAGCATGACCCACTGGTCATTTCTTGCTGAAGCAAGTGACTGAAATCGGATCCCATACTCTGTCATACATACGGGTCAGATCAATTTTCTTGGCTCAATGTCTCAAGCTTCATAACATTTAGCTTCTGGGTTGAAATTCTCCTTGGTTTTACCGCCTGCTCACATCACCTCTGCCTTGCCCTGCCTTGCCTTTCACTGCCCTTTCCCGACCTGTCCTGTCCCGCCCTGCCCTACCCTGCTGCATGTCCTGTCCTGTCCTGTCCTGTCCTGTCCTGTCCTGTCCTGTCCTGTCCTGTCCTGTCCTGTCCTGTCCTGTCCTGTCCTGTCCTGTCCTGTCCTGTCCTGTTTTCGGTCCTCAATAGTGTTTTCTCCCCCAACAGTATAGATATGGACTTGAGGAGGTGGGGTACTCCAAGACGACACTGTGACAGAGTCAGGGGGACCTTCCGGGGTGGGTTGTAGGAGTGCACCGGTTAGATGAGGGGGATTTATGGGGTAGAAGAGGGTACATCTGATATGATGATTTTGGGGTAGGGTACTGCAGCGACCCTGGGGGCACACGGAAAATAGTGTGGTCGTGAGGTGGATTCCTCCAGGTTTTAACTTTCCGTAATTATTTCTAGGAATTTTGAAATTTTGAACACAAAATATGCCACCCTGAATCACACAAGTAAATCCCAAGTTGATGGCGGAACTTCCACCCTAAGTTAGTGAACCCTCGATGTTGCTGGAGGACGGGTCCATTCCAAGACTGTGAGGGGGGTACTTCATGGGAAGTTGAGTAGCTTTATTAGTAATAATAGGAGGCCAGCAGGATTACCCAGTACCCCATGAAACCACATGTATGGTACCCCTATGTCACAGCAAGATATCCTGATAAGTATATATTCCGTCCAAAAAAGAAATGTCAGCCTAAAAAGATATCATGGCCCGGGCGGCATCCGAGTCGCCGCAGCAGAGCACCATGACTGCATCATCATAGAATGTCTTTTTACTCAAAGTTAAGTTAAAATCAGTACGAGGACAATCAGGAGAGTCGAGGAGGCCCCTGACACAGTCGCACAAAAAGATCCTGGACCGGACGATGATAGCACCGAAGGACAGGGAGGCCTTGAGCTGACGAAAGATCCTGGACCGGATGCGTTTACAAGTCGGATCACCTGAGACGTCTTGCGAGGCCGTGAGACCATCCATCGCTGCCGTTTCCTTGTTCGCCGAGCGATCCGCCAACCACCGTGGCACAGAACAAAGCGCAACGCATCGTCCTGCAAGATTCCATCAGTGCTGGCGATGATGGGAAGAAAGGCCTTTGGCGGGACGTGCTGAGCATATGCATTACGATGCCCTCGGATCTTCCGCTGTGCTGCTGCTTGCAGTTTGCTCCGAGCGAGGTCCGGTATTCCATCATTGTCAAAAACATGTGACATGCTGAAGTCCAGGATTAAGCCATGCCATCCGACACCTCCAGTCGCCTGCAGTTGCGGAAGTTCGAAGTCCCCCACATGATGATCTTCAGGGCCATGTTGGGAAACGTTCTGTCTGGTGCCGGGTACGCCTTGCACAGAGTGACTCTCTCGACCTCGCAACGGACAGTTCCGGAACGTCCGGAGTCCGGCCGCACGCCGGGCCAGACAGATTTCAAGTAGCACGGCTGCTACAAGACAAGAGGTATGCGAGCAAGAAACTAGAAACCAGGTCGGGTCGCAGAGAGGGACTATTGTCCTGCCACGAATAGTTGCGGCTTGTTTGAGAGATCAAGAGTGGAGGACAAAGAAAGCAAAGACGGGAACCATTGGGTCCTAACTAGTAGCGTCTAAGAGAGAATTGGGGACAGTCAGAAGTCAAGGGGAGGCACAGTTTCAGCTGGAGGGCGCACAGCGAATGGACCTGGCAGCAGGCCTTCAGCGACCAGCAGGAGCACGAAACGGTATGGAGGTTATCTGTGTCAGCTGGGCTGCAACAAACAGACAGTCATAACTGCGGGATTTTCGTACTGTTGCATCTGCTGCTGATATCAAACACAAGAAGGCCGACACAACAACAAGCCTTCAACACAGGTAGGCAGCAAGGCATCCCCCAACCTCAGCAATGGCTAGAGAGGACGAAGCATCTGCTGCTGGATGCGCTCTGTGCGGAGCGTTTAGTCTGCAGAGCTTTACAACACGCGCAAGATACGGGTTGCAACTTGGGAATGGCAAACAGCAGAGCTCATCACGGGAATTGTACCTAACCATAGCCCAAGACGCTCATGCGATCCACAGACGACAAAGGAAACAGAGGTACCATGGAAAGATGAGCGGTTTTGGGGACACGAGGGGGAGCAGGGCGGGCAAGGACAAGCGAGGAACGTGGCGGTCCTGCGGACAGCCGCCTTCCACACCGCTGGAAGCTCCCCCCCCTCCACCTAACCTCCAGCCGCCGCACCCTCCCCAGAGCCTCGGATATACACACAGAGCAAGCCTCGAACGATGAAAGGGGGACGGACTAGGGCCGCACTTGGCAGGCGATGGATCGAAGGGGATTGCCGCATCAACTTCAATGGGCCACTAGGGAAGAGGAACAAGTACTAACAGCAGGTAGAAAACCTCCCAATGCAATGCGAACAGAAAGATCAGAGCATCGGGGTGCAGCCAATTTGTGCTGAAGCACATCCTGATTCAGTCATACCAGCCAAGCGTCGTAATGTTGCAGGAGGTCTCGGTAGGGGGGAGGAGAAAAGAGATAGCTCTATGACGAAAGGTACAGGGGAAGGGAGAAAGGGTAAGGGTGCTCTACGCCTTGTGACATGCTGACCTTCTCCGTTGGGCCTCCCAAAAAAGAATACAGGTTTTACAGATCAGCAAAAAAGAACCCATAATGACATCCACCGTGACGTAATGATGGCGGTACGCCACGGTAGCGACGGAGGGGGGGACCGAGCCTGACCACATGTGGAAGGCGCTGATGCAACCGATCAAAACGAACAAAAGAATGTGACGGACCCAAGCGTCAAGCTCAGGCCAACATCGTTGGAGGCGACTTCAATGCATCTCGAAAACATCCACTGCCGCAGTGCCGAGATCCTCATGAGAGTAGGATACGGGAGCAACTCGAGCGTGCATCGTGCAGATGAGGCAATGGAACAAATCTTACATGAGCTAGGGCGATCCCAGACTGTCACCTGCGAGAAGATGAGCAGAAGCAGCAAACGCGGGCCGCACGCACTGTGACTTCACGTTCTCCACATGGTACAAGCAGGGTCACCACCAAGCAAACTGGATCATGTCTTCGCGTTCCGGGATCATGTCTTCGCGAAGACGGTGATGATCCAGGCTGGATCATGTCTTCGCGTTCCACCATCCATCCTGCACAGTAAGCCTGATATTGCAGACCGCGAGCAGATAAAAGCTGCCTTTTTGATCTTTCTAGTCTTTTCGCTGAGGCGGATGGTTTCTTGCTATACCTACTTTTTGCATGCTCTGCCTACCCTTGTATTGAGAGAGGTTCTGGGAGCATGGAGGAGCAGAAGACATCAAAACTTGAAGTCGCTGCATGCCTGTCGGTAAGCTGCGACGAGAACTTCACACAGAGATTTCAGGTATGATGACGGTTGCCAACTGTGTGGAACTTAACTTGCTTGTGCTGATGCAGAACTTCTTTGAAGGGGTAACATCCTTCCATCAAGTGTTCTCTGGGAAGCATTATGTTGGAGCTTTCTTGAGCGATGAATCAGCTACACGCAAGGATGTCGCTCAAGCTCGGCGTTACCTTTGGGAGACGTTGAGTACAATATGCAAGGGCAAAGAAGGATTCGCACGAAGGAGCTACAGATTCTTTCCCACCCTTTTCAGCTCCTCTGATGAAGTGAGAAAGGTGGCAGTCTCCTCTTTCTTTCGCTGATGCACTCGAGCAGAAAGAGCAGATTCAAGGCCTCAAGACCATTCTGCCACACGGTTCCGTGATTCGCCTCCAAGCATTTCCTACTTCCCATCAAAATGCTCTTGTGTCGGTGATGCAATGGCGAGCCCAGCTTTCCATCATGACGAAAGTTGCTCAGTTGTTAGAAGAGGAAGGGCACGTTCTCAACCCCACGAAATTCTCTTGGCTTCTCCTCTCAATGTCCACGTGATCATGAAAAGCACATCAGGAAGACTGGCTGATAAATGTCAACGCAGGAGCGACGAGCACACACACACACCCAGAATCTTGTGGGACGGTAAGGCCAAGATGTGTCTACGTAACTTGAGGATCGTTCACACCTGTATCAGTGTGTGAGGGCAAAGAATGCTTCGACTCCCTGATGGACATGCAGTGAGGCTGAAATACAACCCCTGGAGTGCTGACTCTAGGTAAGACAACAAGAAAGGCATCAGACGTGCGGCAAGGGCATCACAAGTGCAGAAGAGGAGGTGCATGACTCTTTGTGTGAGACAGCGACTTTTGATTCACTGGGTCAGGGCCAGGAGCGAGGGAGCGGAGACTCGTCCAACAACGATCCTTTGAACCGCGCTGCCTTCAAGCTGTTCGAGACTATGCAGGTGATGGAATGTGCAGCTGACATGGAGATGACGTTCTACGAAACAGATCGTAGGGTTAGGCTCACAGGAACCTGCAAGGCTCTATTGTTTTCCTTTCTTCAAGTAACCAAAATCCAGCATCCATCGCCTCTTCTGCTTTCTCGCGCCCCCTACACATGGAAGCCAAGTTTTGCTCCTTTCACCGTTTGTGACGTCGGGGCCGCACCTGGAGGCTGGACGGTCTGCGACCGCGACTAGGATATCGACCTGATATGATGTAGAGGCACATGGCGCGTCAGCCGTTTGTCAAACACGTTCTTGCAATTGATCCAGGTGACCTCCCGACCTCATCCTTGACTTGGCTGAAATCACCTGCGAGCAGGTCAGCTGGACTCAAAGCTGGAGTCCTGCAGGAACAAGATAACGCATCTGCAAGTGAAAGCGCAAGATGCTGCAAGGCTGATCGACGAGAACGCGCGGTCGTCAAAGGAAGGGGAAAGCTGGTCTCCTTTCAGCGTCTTGATGTGCGACAGCAACAACGATGCTCGAGACACGGTACGGAGAGAGCTGCCTTATCTCAGAGAGAGAGCTGCCTTATCTCAGAGAGAGAGCTGCCTTATCTGAGAGAGAGCTGCCTTATCTGAGAGAGAGAGCTGCCTTATCTCAGAGAGAGAGCTGCCTTATCTCAGAGAGAGAGAGCTGCCTTATCTCAGAGAGAGCTGCCTTATCTCTCAGAGAGAGAGCTGCCTTATCTCTCAGAGAGAGAGCTGCCTTATCTCTCAGAGAGAGAGCTGCCTTATCTCTCAGAGAGAGAGCTGCCTTATCTCAGAGAGAGAGCTGCCTTATCTCAGAGAGAGCTGCCTTATCGCAGAGAGAGCTGCCTTATCGCAGAGAGAGAGCTGCCTTATCTCAGAGAGAGCTGCCTTATCTCAGAGAGAGAGCTGCCTTATCTCAGAGAGAGCTGCCTTATCTGAGAGAGAGCTGCCTTATCTCAGAGAGAGAGCTGCCTTATCTCAGAGAGAGCTGCCTTATCTCAGAGAGAGAGCTGCCTTATCTCAGAGAGAGCTGCCTTATCTCAGAGAGAGAGCTGCCTTATCTCAGAGAGAGCTGCCTTATCTCAGAGAGAGCTGCCTTATCTGAGAGAGAGCTGCCTTATCTCAGAGAGAGCTGCCTTATCTCAGAGAGAGCTGCCTTATCAGAGTGCGCTGGTTTGTCTGTCTGACACGTCCTAGGTCCGACAATTGGTGCTCCCCATCGCTGAGTTCCTCGCTCCGGGGGGGCTGTTGATCCTAACAGTGAAGCTGCCTAAAAGGTTGCTCTTGCTCCTTCCCATGTCTTCTATCCCTCTTTCCTCCTACCCCTCCCTTTCGCGACGTTCCCTTCTTTCATTTCTGTTATGTTTCTGCTCCTCACCACCAGCATACCTCTCCTTTCTATTGCGAGAGCTTTCAAGTTTCCTGCCGATAGCTCTTGCTGTTCCCATTCACACAAAGCCAGGCTTTGACCACCGTGATTAACTCATGAATGACAGGGCAAGTCCTACAGGTGTTGCAGTGACGCGAGTGGAAAAGTGTAAGTCGATGCTGTGAGGACCTGTGCCATTTGGACTGCAGCCGTTCGTTGATGTCAAGAATGGCAGGTGCTCAGAGTTTGAAAATTTTCGGGTGGAGTGGTTGTTTGGAAACAGCTTCTGCGAGAGGACCATAATATGCAGTAAAAAGATGAAAACCTGACTAGCCGCTGTGACCGCGATGATCCTACGGTACGCGAGTACTACATCCCATGTCCGAGGTCCGGCGCACGGTCCGATTTTGGCCCGTGATCCACCTGTCTACTTGGTGACCTGGCATGGCCGCGGCACCGTGTTGACGCTGCCGCGGCGCCACGCTTGGCAAGTTCGGGGAACCGGAGCGCTGAGCTGGTGCGATGCGGGGAGCCTCCGAGGAGCCTATGCCAGGACAGCCCCGTGCGGTACTTCTCCGAGACTGAGACGGAGCCCCGGCCCCGGCAAATCATTGAATGCACAGCGGCAAGGACCGTGCCAGGGTGAGGCTTCTGCCCCACGGGCCAGTTCCGGAGCACGCGGCCCGGCCGTCTCAGTCTCATCCGGGGCCTCAGCCTGACTCGCCCTTACTCTGAAAGGCGGTCACCGGTGCGGCACCCGTGACCGGGACCGGAACTTCGGAAGCCGGCGGGCCGGTCAAGCCTCCTCGACTCTCCGGAGTGATTGTCCTCGTACCGTACTGATTTTTAACTTCACTTTGAGTAAAGTGATTTTTAACTTTGACGGTAAAGTTCACCGTGAAACAGCAGTCATGCCAGAACTTGAATCAGGATTGTGTGCCCGCCATGTCGGATGAGCCCCGGGCGGCCTTGTTAGTCCAGGCTATCCGTGACCCGGGCCGGCCCGGCCCGGTGGGCTCAGATTCGATCCCGCCACTTCCTTCATACATGGCACTGCGATCCCCTGTCAGTCATGGCAGCCACGTGTCGTAGCGCCTTGACGCTGAAGGCATACATGTGTGGGATGAAGCCATTGATCTCTCACTCCTGCTGGTCGACTGTTGACATGCGTGAATGGGCTCGCTCAAAGGTCACATGCATTGCCGTCCTTGGGAACGCAAGAACGGTGCAAGCTTGCATTGCACTCATGCTTCATTTTGGACAGGCATCAGCTCCCTCAGCTCCCTCAGCTCCCTCAGCTCCCTCAGCTCCCTCAGCTCCCTCAGCTCCCTCAGCTCCCTCAGCTCTCTCTCAGCTCCCTCAGCTCCCTCAGCTCTCTCAGCTCTCTCTCAGCTCCCTCAGCTCCCTCAGCTCTCTCTCAGCTCTCTCTCAGCTCTCTCTCAGCTCCCTCAGCTCCCTCTCAGCTCCCTCAGCTCCCTCAGCTCCCTCAGCTCTCTCAGCTCCCTCAGCTCCCTCAGCTCCCTCAGCTCCCTCAGCTCCCTCAGCTCCCTCAGCTCTCTCAGCTCTCTCAGCTCTCTCAGCTCTCTCAGCTCTCTCTCAGCTCTCTCAGCTCCCTCAGCTCTCTCAGCTCCCTCAGCTCCCTCAGCTCCCTCAGCTCTCTCTCAGCTCCCTCAGCTCTCTCTCAGCTCCCTCAGCTCCCTCAGCTCTCTCTCAGCTCTCTCAGCTCTCTCTCAGCTCTCTCTCAGCTCTCTCTCAGCTCTCTCTCAGCTCCCTCAGCCCTCCCTGCGTCTTTGTAGGTCGATCGTCAAGACATTGACTCATACACCTAGCCTTCTTTCAATCATCCTGTCATTTCCTGTCTCTCCGGCTGCCTCATCATGATCAATCAAGTCACGTGCAGTGTTGTACTGTATTGCTCACCTCACTTGCTCTTGCTTCAAGTTGAGAGTTTTGTTCCTTTCATCAAATCTTTCTCTCGCTTGCCACAAGTTTTTGCTTTCTTTGTTTATTGTTCTTCTGATGTTTGATCATGTGGTGTTTCGTTATACTCGGATATTGTCGATGCATTCAGACACATTTTTGTCAAAACGTTATTGTCTCAATCTCCTGCTTATTCTTGAGCTCAATCGCACTGGAAATGTTTCGAAGCTCTTATGTTTCGTTCGGCAGCAGATTTCACAATCATATCGTCGTCAAATCTGGAATCAGAACCGGTTGTGGCGGTCAGACCCTCTCCTCTGGGTGGACATGGCTTGTTCGCACTTCGATCATTTGCGGAGGGCGAGGTCATTCTGAAAGAGGCGCCCCTGCTGAAGCTTCCAGGAGTCCCCTGGTATGGATTGGAAGATGAGCTTTCTGGAATGAGCTCCTCAGCTAAGGTGATTGAGGACGCAGTGGTGCAACTAGATCCTGAAAGACAAGAAGAATTCTGGAAATTCACTCAGGCACCAGTCTATGGAGAATCGAAAACAGCCTCTGGGATTTTCTGGACGAACATGATTGGAGTTTTCTATGACGATGATGAGGATGATGAATCGTGCCTTTCATGCATGTTCTTGTTAACCTGTCGACTCAACCATTCTTGTGTTCCAAATGTGAAGTGGGAATATCAAACCGACGACAACGAGGCTAGTACTTTGTCTATTTCTTGCTCCTTTCCCCTCTTTCCCCGCTCTTCTGTCCCTTTGCTCGCTTCCATCATTGGTCCCTTCTACTGGTCCTCATCCTCGTCCTCCTCCTTCTGTTGATCTTCCCTCCTCCTGAGTGTCTCTCTTGATCCTGACTCCTTATTTGATTCGTTACAGATGGTCACAAAGGCCTGCAGAGATATTGCTGAAGGAGAAGAATTGTTCGTTCGATACAAGGTGAGCAGTGGACACCAGGACACATTGAGCATAAGAGACTACTTGCATGAGTGGTATGGTTTTTGGTGTACATGCAAGCACTGCACAGCATATCTAGACAGATACAACCTCGATGGGCTGCCTGGTGTGACACGGTGAACCTCTGGCTGATAAGTGAGAGTCCGGACCGTACCGTCAGTCACGCGCGGCGTGGGCCGCGCCGCACGGTGAGTACCGCCGGTCGCCGTTGAAAGGCTTGCCTGTCCCTTCCGAGTGCCGGGCGGCGGCTCAGCTGGTCAGAGCCCGGCCGCCCGGGGCGCGCCCTTTCACTGCGGCCCACCGCCGCGGTGGGCAGTGAAAGTTCAGCGGCAGCCAGTGCCCCAACAGTAAGTAAATCATTACCGTCTCTGAGATACACTGCAAATGCCATGATTGTGATCAGGCAAAGTACGGTACCGTACGGTACGGTACGGTCCGATCACCGCCGCCGGGCCGCCGCCGCGGCCCGGCCCGCCGGCCCGGCGCCGGGGCGGCCCCAGTCACTGAGTGCAACGGGTGCTGGCATGATCTGAGTTTGACCTTTTTGTTTGCAACTCTGCCCGATCCGATCTCCGATTCCGATGCAAGCCCCCCGTGTCCGGCCCCCTCCCCTCGTGCCTCCTACCCCCCCGTAATCATTTCACTACCCCTGTGATAGACCACGGGATTCTAGTACCCTACCCTACACTTGTTGAGCAAGTTCCGATCCGGCAGTTCCCTCCACCTCTTCAATGAGCGGAGAGGGAGAAGAATGGAAGAGCAACAGGGGATAGTGAGATGAGAGCTCTGAAGTAGACGCTCATCGCTTCCAGTGAATCTAGCTTACAACCGTTAGCCCCAAATTGTAGGCAACTCCACTTTTCACCTCAAAAGTCAGCGTGAGCTGGTCGCTGAGGACTACAATTAGCTTTTGCCTTGCCTGACGTTTTGCTTCAGCTCCATGGGATCAGAGTGTAGTTCTCCTATCAGGTGCAGTCCAGCAATGGACTGTAATGACCCCTGCAGGGGTGCTGGGAACAATCGCTATGGTGACGACGCGAAGAGGAAGCACCCTCTGGTATGAATCGAGAATGTTTGACGATCAAGCTGAAAGTGCTGTTTAAGCCTTTTCAGGCCTCCTCTCGACGAGATTGCTCGTCCTTCACTCGAGTCGGCGGGCAGCTTCCTACTCATGCTTATAAGGTCGACTACTTCCTCAACCCTCACCTCGACCCCAACTGCTCCACAAGACCCGTCGACCGAGACCGCGTGTGGGACCCCAAGACCCGCCGGCTCTCAAGGTAGGAAGAGCTCGAGAGAGCGAGCAGCAAGACACTCGCTCACGCCATCGCCGCAGGCTGTCGGAGCTCGACCCGTCAGACTTCTTGCACACGCCGGCAAAGACCGTAGAGGAGGAGAAGCGAGAGCTCTGGGAGCTGTTTGAGAGCGCCAAGGCGGTAGGGGCGGTGGTAGAGACGAAGGCGCCAGAGGCAGAGCAGCCGAGGCGGAAGTCGTCATTGATGGAGGCGGAGAGGATGCGAGATGCGTTGATGAAGCTATACGAGGAGGAGATCACCGGAGGATATGTGTTGAAGGCTCGGGCAGACGAGGGAGGAGAAAGGACCGTAGCGATTAGCGGAGCAGAGCTCATGATGCTTGAGAGGGGAGGAATTGCCATGGGGAATCACAGCTCTTCCAACCGAACTGAATGCGGGAGGCAAGGCGATGGTCATGGACTCGCAAGCAAAGCCTGTGCTAATCAACCTAACTAGGATTGGCAGCGGGAAAGTTTGTCATCTGTTGGGAAGGCATATTGGAACTGCCACAAGTTACTCTTCGTAATGCTTTAGAGCTCGGACAACTTAGTTTGAGCTTGACGAATGAGCCTCGGAGCCAGTGGCGGCCTGGACTGACTCAGCAATAGGTCAATCCGATCAGGCTGCAAGTCACGGTATAGGCTCGAAAATGTATGTAAAACATGACTAGTTTGTATCTTTAAGTTGGCATGGCGAGTCACATCGTGCCGCTTCCCGCCGTTGGTTTCAAGGTACCGGGTAACTTTCCCGTTAAGAATCACTCTTGAACTGCTGAGGCTTGTCAGCCGCTCCGAGGCTGCTGCCAGGAGCGGCGACTTGCCGGCCGCCCCGGCTGAGTTTGACATCCGAGTCGGACCCTTCAACGATCACACCGTGACCGGGCGCGGCCAGTCACGAAGCTGCCGATGACTCGCCGGAGTCGGCGGTAATGCCACTCAGTCGGAGCGCCGGGCCCGGCGGCAGTCGCCGTGTCAACAAAGCCAAGTTCCGATTCTCCTGTTTTTTTACTCTACTTTCAGGTGGTACTAAGTGACTTAAGGTGATAAGTAATTCCGTGTTGAACCTTGAAGATATATGAGGACCCGTCCAAAGCCTGCTTGAAGGTAGGGTAGTCTCGGATGGATATTTTCATTTCCGAAAAGCTTGTTTGGGGGTGGGGTACTTTATTGTGCTTGATTCAATTACAGTAGGGGTCATTACATCACGAAATTGTGCGGTGGGGGTACTACAAGATATCTATGTCGCTGTTGGACAGAGGGGTGGTGATTGAAAAGAAGAGGAGTTGACAAGGAAAATGCTGTCGCAGGCGATGGAGTTGCGGCATGGCCTAAAGAAAAGAAGAGGAGGAGGAGGAGAGGAAGGGAGTGAAGACAAAGAGGATAGAAGGGCGGGAGACGAAAGGAGGGGAGGAGAGAGCAGGGACGGGGAGAGATGAAATAACTTGAGCCGAAATTCAGTGTGTGCATTAGTTCGGGGCGATGAGTTACTGTTCGAGATGCAAGAACGTATTGTGATGCTGGAGATCATCCAGTGGAGTAGCATGGATTTTTCAGTAACATGCTACAGCGAATTCAGTAGAGTAGCATGGATTTGTATGTAACCTGCTACTTCGAAGACGCACACAACGTGCCTGTTAAGGAGGAGCGAGGAGAGAGGAAAAAAGGTGCTAGAGCATGGAGAGATAGGAGCTCAGTGGAGAGAGGACTGCAAGGGAATTCAAGACACGAACGAAGAGTGAAAAGCAATTAGATACAACAATCTGCGAAGTCGAGCAAACTGCTAGCAGACAGCAGGTGACGTGCACAGAGCTACCTGGTGATAGGGCAGCGAGTTATTGGCAGAGATAAACGCTGACGGTAATAGAGGCACCAAGCCAATAACATGTGTGGCTGAATTTTCGACTGTAATTCGCGTTCTTGGCTGTTATTGATGCTCTCCAAAATTTGAACTACACGATGAACACTGACCATTAGAGCGTGCCTTGCTGACTGTTGTACGTCATGCTTGTTTTAGTTCGGTTGAATCTTTGACCAGGTTGATGTGATGCAATCTGCTGGCGAGAAATAGAGCAAGGAGCAAAAGCCTTACAGATGTTGCGGTCGATTAGCAGCGGCAGCGTTGCTTCGATTCCTTTGAGCATGGATGAGAATGGAGGGATCGATAAACTGCAAGCTCAGTATGGTTACTACTTCGCTCCTGGCGAGCTCCGACAATTGTTCGAAGAGTTTAGTAGCCTGGTGAAAGAAGATGAAGGCAAACCAGAAAAGATATCCACATTAGATGCTGGAAACATTCTTGTAAAGCTTGGGTTCTTCACGGATTCGGAACTGCGAGGGGACTTCTTGTCAGAGATTCTGGAGGATATATCCAACACCATTCCTGTTGTTGTCTCCATCTTAGGGTTCGAGAGCTCTCAGCTTCGTAAGGAATCGGGCTCTGATGTATTTGCAATTTTGCGTATTGGTGCACGACAGCTGGAGTCGGCATTGCACACAGCGGATCAGGATAACTGGAACGAGATGTTCTCGTTTGAGTGCGACAAGGGCACACGGAGCATCGAGTTGCAGTTCTTCGAGTTGTCGAATCCAGACAGGATGAATGCTCACGGCAGTTTCAGGACCACAAGAAACATCTTCGGTACTCTTGCTGTGCCGCTGCAGCCCATGGAAGAGTGGAAGACGTTGACGCGGGGGGAGGGTCAAGCGGCGGAAGTTGTTGATCGCGTGCTGTTGAAAGTTCAACTTGAGAGCAAGGAGTTGAATGAGGGAGCAGCGGACGAGGAAGTGAAACTTGCCTTCCCGGATCTCGTGCGCGTCATCTTTCACTTCAGAAGCGAGGGGATGAATCCTCAAGTCCAGAAGCGTCAGAAGTTTCCGTTCGACCCGGACTCTACCGCCAAGCAGGCATGGGATCTTATGGTCATGGCCCTGCTGCTCTACACGACCTTTGCTGTTCCCATCACCCTCGCCTTCAGCTCGGACTCGATCAGCGGGCAGCTGTCGCCGTACCAGGTGTGGGACCTCTGCTTGGATGTCATCTTCTGTACCGACGTGCTCATCTCTTTCGGTACTGCCTACACCCATCAAGGCATCTACGTGACCAGCATGGCAAAGATCGCTAGGAACTACCTCAAGGGCTGGTTCTGGATCGACTTGCCCGGCAGCGTCCCCTTTGACAAGATTGTCACTGCAGTGGCCAGCGGGGAAGGATTCGGCTCCACTCTCAAGGTCTTGAAATTCATCAGGATCCTCAAGATGGTTCGAGCTGTGAGGTTTCTCAACAAGTTGTCACAGCTGGAAGAAAAGGATCGATCAGGGTCTCTCCGCACTATTCTCAAGACGTTCCGATCAGTGTTCCTCATGTTGTTCTCTGCACATTTTCTGGGCTGTATGTTTATTATGATGATTTCCTCGGACAGCAAGGAGAACTGGCTAAGCGCGTACGACGAGGAGCTGGCTCAGAGCAAGTCACGCGATGTCGAGAAGTACGTCGTTAGCCTCTACTGGGCGTTGACGACTGTCAGCACGTTGGGGTACGGAGATGTGCTTCCTGTGACCAACGATGAGAGGATATACACCGTCTTCACCATTCTCATCGGTGTCGTCGTCTTCGCCTTCTCCTTGGGGAACATCACGACTCTGATGACTCAGTCTGAAGGAGCTCGGCTGCACTTCGAGGACAAGCTGCGGGCCATCTCCGAGTACCTCGACTTTCGTGACGTCAAGCCCACTCTCAAGCGTCGCATCACCGCACACTTCGGCGGCTGTTGGCGGCAGAGCGGCAGCCTCTTCCACGAGGAGCAGGTGCTGGACTCCTTCCCCCGCGAGCTCCGGAAGATGACGTTGGAGCATCTGACCGTCCTCGCGGAGAAACTCGTGCCCGTCCTGTTCGGTTTGGACCGTCAGACCATCGGTGAAATTTTCATTCGCTTGCGGCCCACGGCTTACATCAAGGACGAGTACATCTATCACCGAGGCGAGCGAGGAGGAGAGCTCTTCTTTGTCACCGACGGGATCGTCTCGCTTTCGCACGGCATCAAGCCGGCCATCTCCCTGGAGGACAGCGCCTTCCAGCCCCAGGAGAACACGCGGCTTCGCATGGTAGAGAAGGGGAGTGAAGACTCTTACTTCGGAGAAACAAGTTTCTTTCGTTCCATCTGCGAAATCCGTGCTGAAGACGCGAGGGCGTCGACAGATGTCTCCTGCCTGATGCTCTCAGAAGAGACAGCTGAAGAGCTCGAGCTTGTCTGCCCCTCATTCTGTGAGAAACTCTACGAGCTATGCTCACTCCGAGCGGCGAAGTTCGGCTTGAGCAACCAGACCGTGACGATGCACAAGTCGTCAGGTAGACACAAGGAGTTCGGGCAGATCGACCGCTTGCTCAAGTCGCTGAGATCGGAGCTGATGGAGCGATACGATGAGCTTCTTGCGAAGCATCTCGACAACCAGCAGCACTCAGAGGAGGAGGAGGAGCGTATGGCTGACGAGCTCGTTCGCGACAGCAGCGCTAAAACTTTGATCAACTCATGGTACGTTCGCAAGAAGAAGAACATGTTTGAGAGCGCGATGCGCATTTTCGAGTATGACAGTCAGTCTGAATGTCTCACCAGCAAGGTCCCTGTGTCCTCAGACATGAACAAATCACCTCATGACTCGTTCTCGAGCAGCAAGACTTTCATGCTGCGACAGATCCAAGAGATTGAGACAGCAGGCGATGGCTCTAATAAGGTTCGCATCATCTTCAACCACGGCTACCATCCCTACGAGATCGAGTTCACCACTGCCGAGGACCTTGACTCCTTCCTCTCGGTAGTCGGAGAGGGTCTGCGCAATCAGCAGATGCGCAAGAAGTCGCTAGCAAGCGTGCACTCTGTTCAGGTGGTGCAGGGTGGAATCTTGCGTGGATGGCTGGCTGCAAGCCTGGAGGGTCCGCTAGAGCATCTACCGGGGGAGGATGAGAACCACTTGTGGAGGAACGCTTCCTTCATCGTCGACGACCATCGCAATTTCTTCTGCGTTTGCGATACCCGAACGAGCCTCGCCCAGGGTCAGCCGCAGATGCTGGGCAAGGTGGTGGGCAGAGCGCATTTGATGAGCATCGGGCGAGTTGAGGGCTTTGTGCACGGTACGCATGCGTGCCGGCTGCTGCTGGAAAAGGAAGGGAAGCAGCAATTCATCTACATAGGGACCGAGAAGAAGGAGGACGCCAAGGGGTTGGCGGTGAAAATTGAGGGGGAGGAGAAATCTTCGAGTCCTCAACATGCTGACCAACTAAGACAGTGTCGGTATGTAGGGAATGGCGAGAGGCGAAACTCGCGAGTGAAGTTTGTCTCGGAGAGGGAGAGTGCGGAGGAGAGAGAGGGAGCGGAGGAGAGAGAGGGAGCGGAGGAGATCGTCGTATCTTGCGGTGGAGAGCAGACGCGAGGCGCTGCGGTTGACAGTGAGAGCTCACTCAACCAGCTGGTGAGGCTGCTGCATGCACAGGAGCGACAGCGCAAGCAGGAGCACGAGGAGGTGAAGAGGTGAACAGTTCTTGTACAACTCTGACTCTGCTGCAGCTCTTGCAACGCATCAAGAAGGTGGAATTCCAACTCAACAAGATGTACAATCCGAGGTGAAGAACAAACAAACTACAAGAATCACCTACACCGCTATTTTCGTGAATTTTTCTTCTGTTAAAACATCTTCAGCCCCTGAGCTCTTTTGCCATGTCTGCGATTCTCGCTGCTTCCTTCTTCGCGTAATTCTCCTCCTGTCATTCCAAGAATCAGCTGAGCTGACATTTCGACATCAAGACTTCACCTGCGCCAGCACTAGCGGAGTCGCTTCCTTGGACACGACCGACATGTCCATCCCTCGCATGCGAGGAAACCCTGAGGAGCCTTGAGATCGCGACCTTCACCACGTTCTCACAGCTTACCTGCTCCATCGGCTGCCTTCAAACTCGCTCCCGTGCGGGATAGACGATCGATGTGTCTGAACACTTTCCTGGCCGTCAGACGTTAGCAGCAGCGAGGCGGATATTACAATTGACGTCACCCGTTCTTTGAGTTGGCCATGGAGAAAAGTTCTCGTCCCTCCTCCAAGTTCTTCGCGTCCCTTGAGCCCCCCAGGGCTGCAACTTTCTTGGATGCCTCCATCAGCTTCTCCTTATGCATTCTTGCTCGTGCCATGCCCTCAGCAAGTTCTTTCTCCTCCAGCCCGTACGCTTCTCGCGCGGCCTGCGCTGGACCCTCGACCACCGCCCTGTCTGGCTGCGATCCTTCATAGAAGCCAGCGTATGCATGATACCTCGGAATCCCATGCGAGTTTTTCAACCCCCACAGATGGCCGTGAGGAAGGAGGCTGTCGCCATTCCCCGAGAAAACGTTTCCTGAGGAGACAGAAGCAAGTTTCTGTGTGGGAGCTTGCAATATCCTTGGCTTATCCTTCTTGAACACTGTTGGGATCACAGTGCCCGGGATATACCCATACTTTCCTGCACCAGCACTGGCAGGAAGGGTGGCGTAACGTTCTCCCCCGATCTTGATCGCAGCCTCATTGTGCACGAGATGCCCAAGGCCCTTGGCAACTTCATGCTGGTGACGAGCAAAACTCTTCTCCGCACAGCTTGCAGCTCCGCACCACAGGGGGTCTTCAACATTGACGTCCTTTCCTTCCTGCGGTTCCTCCATTGACGCTTCATGCGCATCACTCCACATGCTGTTGTCTCTTGCACTCTGCTGCGTGTGCTGTGCAGAGTAAGGTGCAAGCCAAGGCATGCCGTCGTCCCCGTTGCCGCTGCCGTCGAGGAACAGTTCCTGCTTGCGGGCCTTCAGGCTCGACCCGCGTGCATCCTGCTTGTCCTGTGCAGCCCATGCCTTGCACGATTGCGGGTGTTGTCTGCAGTATCGACTGGAAAGTCGCATACGTTGCAAGCGGTTAACGAGTCCCTGGAGGGCTGAGTGAGGCTGAGACAGTAGGAAAACGAGAAGAAACCTCGGGGTCCGGCATGACAGGGGTCGAGCCTCCAAGCCATCCGGAAGGGTTCGTCATTGAGTCAAGCTGATGAACTGCACGAGATGTTGAGAAGCAAACATGACAGGTCTCTAAACTCGCATACCTGAATTCTTGGTCGAGGTCTCAAGCTTGTACAAGGCAGCTGCAAGGTTTGGCTGCTCTCTGGTAGCCTCCAAGCCCTTTACGATCCCAGTGATGGCAAGATTGTTCGCTCCGATATTGTCATTGAAGTCGTCAGCAGCAGCTCCAGATGTCCACTGCAGGTCACGATGAGACTCTCGGCGCCTTCAAGTCAAGCACTACCTTGGGCTCGACGCCCATTGCTCTCGCTGTCTCCAAATCCCTACCAAACAGTTCCACCTGCATAAAGACGTAAAACAAGTGAAACAAGGGGAGAGAGAAATGCTAACCTTTCCCGTCATCGACAAGAACAGGGTTACAACAACTGCCAGGGACATTATCAGAGGAGTATCAGAAGAGAAGCATCAGAGGAGTATCACAAGAGAAGCATCAGCGAAGAAGAACAAGTGGAGTCCTAGGCGGGCCATCTCTAATCAGTGACTTTTCACTACTTGCGCCACCTTCACCTAATGAGATACAGAGCTACTCACAAATGACTGCAACCACAGCCATTTGTGACATGTGAGAACAACACAAAGATACAAACAGATAATCGAGCACGCGTGTCTGATTTGATATCATTTTTTTCTGTATCTCGTATGTTCTTCCCATCAGTCCCTTTGCCTTGTTTGCATCTCTTCCTTCATTCGCTGTCTCCTTCCTTCGCATCTCACCTGACATCGTCAAGGCGCCTGCGAGTCCTGCCAGCCCCGCCGACATCCCAACTCTTGCCATATCTGTGCCCCTTCGTTCCCAATCCGTTATGGGACTGTTAAATCGGTTATTTCGGCGTTACAATCGCTTTCCTAAACTAGGAACGTCAGCACATAGGAGAAGTTCAGGCTGCATGTCAATGGAGAAGAGACACGATGAAGCGTATGTTAGCGTGTATGTCATCATATGACAAGTCGCGGTATAGCAGAAAGAAGAAACTTCGAGCGGGAAATGTCATTCGGCATAAATACCTACATCATATCCCTCACAATCCCCCAATCTCAGTGCATCGTCTGTGTTTTACTTCCCTTGATTAACGGTGTGTCGATATCTGCAGATATTGCATTGAGACAACGCAAACCTCGCCTTGCTCTCTTGTTGACAGCTTTGAAAAATCCTCGGGAAAAATGACCAACGTCGAACAAAACAAGTGAGAAACTATTTTCGTTTTTCGTTCATGTTGATGGAATGTGCAGAGGCGAAGCTTCCCTGGCTCAGGGTGTGACTGCTCTTCTGGAGCCCGTTGCTCTTCTGGTGTGCCATACCCAGACACATTGTGGCGCTCACATTTTCTGCTTAGCATGATGAGAAGATGAAGAAAATTCTAGCGAGGTAGCTTATATCTTTTGATCAGCTTATTCTAACGTGTTTGTACTTTCCCAGCCAAGAAGCTCTCGAGAAACAAATAGACAGATTTTCTGCTGGTGAATGAAACTTGTTGTTGGACTAGTTGTCGGTAACATAGAGACCAAAACCAGAAATCCTCAAACTGAAAGACAAGGAGAACAATGCGATGCTGAGCTTCTATTCTTCAAAGCTGGCAACATCAAGGAAGAGATTGAAGAAGGTTGAGACAACGGTGATGCAGATCCAAGACCGAGTAGAAAACATTGCCAGAATGCATGAACAGCTCCTGGCTGCTGAGAAGAAACAAGAACAGGTTGAGGACAATGTAAATAAGTGCTTTGTGTTCTCATCTTGAAGCGAGCACTTGTTTCCAACAGGAGAAGAACGGGGCATGCTCTACTGCTGATGCAGAGGAGGAATTGAAAGAACAAGAGGTAAGAATTTGTTCCTTCCGCCGGTCTGTGGTGGTGATGATATCCTAGTCACCTGATGATACTAAAGAGAAGAGCTGAAAATGGACAAGGAGCCTTCATTTTACAGACCATCTTTTGATTTCTTCCGCAGGCTGCATGCTGACAGAATATCAATTCTCTCCTGATCTCTCCACATTCTGTGATTGCAAGGAGATATCAAAGTATCTTCTACGAAAACAAGAATTCAATAAATCAAAAATTGAAATAGTGTACAAAAAGCATCCGGAGGGAAATGCCATCAGTCTGTTGTGTGTCATGCATTGCTGTTGCTAGACGCCTGTTTTTGTCGAGTCACTCCGTTCCATGTCAAAAGAGCCTCCAATTCTCCAACGAATGATCTTGATCAGACTGTTCAGGTTTTGATTCCTCTTGGCTGCCTCGTCGGCCTATTGATCACAATCTGAGGAATGAAATCCCCCCAGAAGTATCACCTTGCGAACAAGCTCCTTGCGCTCCTCGATCAGGTACCTCGTTATCATACGCAGAGACGCGTTTTCTTCCCCAAACCGTTTGAGCTGAGCCTTATCGATGAGAGTCAGGTCGAGCAAGTTATGCAAGGGAGATCACATGTATGGATGATTGCATCCTCATGTTTGCAGCTGCCCACAAACTTCAGTTTGTCGATACATACACCAAAAGAGAGAAACCATGAATTGCGGGATCTTTCGTTACACTTGGTTTGCGATCAGTTGACATCCCTGTCTCTTTTTCAATCTCCACTGAAAAATCAAAGGTTACGAGGTAGAAAGGATAACAAAGTTTCCTCGCTCTGTAAAAATTCATCGTTTAAAGAATATTACCATCATCGTTGGAACAAGGAATCAGAGGCAGCAGGAAATCTTCATTGTCATCCGACCATATTTCCTTCATGAAAACATCTGCATTTTCTGGACCTCGCAATATGTCCTCGTTCACATCTGCATGTTACTGTCAGCTGTAGTGTGCCAACAACGATCGAGTTACCGCATAGAGTACCATCTATCCCTGAATCTTCTTCGTGCAAGTGTCCATCAACTGTAACGTGGCTAGCAGAGTTCAAAATAAGTAAAAGAAGCATAGTAGGTAAAGCATCTCATTCACCTTTCTCTTCCATAGAAACTCTCGCTCATTTTGAAAAACGAGGTTACCCTGGAAACCAACTGTTAGGTGCTAACAGCAAGTTCTGCTCTGTTTCATTTCCAATCAGCCTAAATCCTGTTGAGGTAGAGGTAGAGGGAAAAAATGCTCTCTCAATATATCTGACAAACATCGCATTCAGGTTATTGGCAGGCTCCATGTTCAACCATGTTTGTCTTTTCCATTCAACTCTACTTCCTCAAAGCACCGTGTGCCGTAAATTGCATTTGACCATGTGTTGGTTCTACTAGCGCATTGCCTCATCCTTTCTGCCCCTTTTTTTCTCCTTCCGTGTCAGGCACTCTAGGGTTTTTAGTTATCTAGTTGCGGATCAAACCCGCTTCAATAAAATACTAGGAATCGGAGGAGGCAGCGAAAACCGCTACTCCAACCACGCAAGCGATGGCATTCAAAGTGCACGACAAGCAGGGGAACAAGGATCAGGACAAAGAGCAGTAGCGCAAGGCTCCTGCGAGGAGGACGGCAAGACCCATGCGAGAGCGATACTGCCGAAACAGGCGAGCACGCAAACGAAGAAAGCCAGGGTCCCCATACACCGCCTCCTGAGCGCAGCCATCCCACTCCGCTGTCAGCGTAGCTCCATGGTGATCCGCCAGGTACCAGAGAAACCGCAAAGCGTCAGCATCAAGAAGACCATCCGTACCTGCAGTGAAGGGAAGAAATGCATTCGGCGGGTGATGGGTGCCATAACTTGCGCGATGATCCGAAATCTTCTGTTGGGCGGGGACGGAGAGCGCAGAAAGTCCGACGGGGCTGCCGCTGCTGTTGTAGGGATGAGTCATCGTGAAGTCCAGAACCAGCCAATTCCAGGCGTGGGTGGAGAGGCCAGGGAGCCAAAGGTCGCCCATGTGTCGGTTAGTGGGCCATGCTGAGGGACGAGGGTCCGGGTGTGTACTTGCCCCTTGCTGATGAAGCTTCGTGACGATGCCAGCATCCACACAGATGTCGCGAAGAGCCACAGTACACTGCTCATGTGCGGTGGTCCATAGAGCTGCGCGATGACGACAATTGGCCAAATAAGAGACACTGCTTCCCGCCGATGGATCTAGAGCTGTAGCACAACGATCACAGGTGGGAGGCACTAGCCTGGCCGGGGGTAGCCCATGCAGGAAGCGATCGACCCCTCGTGCGAGGTGGATGGGGCACTAGTTGGAAGGGTGAACGTTCGTTGCCTCCATCAGAGAGTACTGCAAGCGCCGCTGAGGGTTCTGAGTCTTCCGAAGGAGGGGCTCTAGTGGGAAGGGTAAAAGACTGACTCACTGACTCGTGGGGATTCACCCAGGGACGCGAAGTAGCCCGGGCCCAAGACGCCGTACCCAGCAAAGTGTCCATCAATGCACGCTGGGATAAGGAATTGACAGCATTCTTGAAGTCCAGCCCAATCATCACGACAGGGTCATAGTCGAGCAACGTCGCCTCCGAAGGAATGTGCTGATGCGTGAAAGGCCCTAGCGTGCATTGAAGGAGCTTGGCAAATCGAATCGCCCCATCTTCCAGACCGCCCGAGTGCTGGAAGATGTCCACGAAAAAATGGCAGGGAAGGACAGCTGAGGACAAGCGCTTTCAGGGGCTGCAAACGCCTTCTGTTTCATGCATCGGTTGAGATTCTACAAGCTTCCAAAGTTAAGGCTTTCCAACAAAATTGCAGCCCCTCTCTCCCCTCGCTCCTTCCCCTCCTCACCATGGCTGTGGCTGGCAAGCCTGTAAGTTCCTGCTTGCAAGCAATCTTCATGCTGACAAATGGTGCAGGTGAACTGTTCGAGTCACGCAGTTGCCAGCCTGGCTGCTGATTGATTTAGGTAAGCACCAATCCCGCCTGTCCCTCACAGTAGTAACGTTGTTGCAGGTCAGCATGTATCGCCAGTGCAACAGGAGAGCAAGGGAAACAGAGGATCAGAGATCTGCGTGTCTCGAAAACCAAAGGAGGCGGCAGCGTGAATGAAGAGAAAGGGAGACGGAAGAGGAGCGACAAGCGCGTATTGACGACCTGCGAAGGCGGCAGCGTGAAAGAAGAGAGAGGGAGACAAAAGTGGCGGAGATACCTGAACCTGCAGATGCAGTCCCGAAGGTTGCCATGTCTCTTTAGGCTGGGATTCCAGTACTCTTCCAATATGTCTCTTGATCGTACATCAAAACCAACCAGAAAACTCTCCGATCCGATTTGTACTGAAATTTGGCTGATGCATTGATCACTGACGGTGCACGAATTGCTTCCCAACGAAGTAGGTACGCAGGCTTTTCAAAGTCTCGAAGTACCATGCCGGATGATTTTGGTGTGCAGACTCCCTTCAGAAGCATTGTTGATGTTGTACAAATGTAACTCGAAAGGATTTATTGTTTAGCAATATCACCTTATACGATTTCACCGATAATGATTTTGGTGCTCGTGTACAAAACCTTTCCATTGCCACTTCGACAAATCCTGCACTGTCTCACTCTTTTCAACCGCTGTACATTCCCCCCTTGTGGACTTGGTTGGATGAAAGATCTAGCGTGGTCGTCAACAAGTATGAGTTGGTGATCATCCAACGGCGCATCTGCTTCATGACTGTCATCATCATCCACGCTGGAATCTGTGCTATCCTGTCCTCCTCTTCTTGGAATCAATTAATCTGGACAACCTTGGTGCTTTCTCATCAATGCGGCTTTGGTCAGGGCGTCAGTAAACACCAGATGACTGGGGACTTATAACGAGACCCAACCGTCCGATAGCCATGAATATCTGGTCGAATTCGGTTGGCTATTCCGGGAAAAATCAGGTTCCAGGGTCTCTCCCGCATTTGCCAACACGACGTCGTAATAGTCTACACTCTTCTCGAAAAGCTTTGCAACCTCACTGAAAAATCTGATCTCCAATTCGCCTGCATTCGAAGGTAGAAACACATATTTTCCCGATGACCCCTGTATAATTTCAGAAATCTGCCCATACAACATCGTGCTTGAAACAAACGTGGGTATCAAAAGGTCCTGTGGTACCCCGATCGTTTCCCACACTTTCCGTCGAAACCTTGCGTGCTCCTCATCCTTCAAGAGCCGATTTACGGCAGTCATAGAAATCTTTCCTTTCAGCATCGCCTTGAGATCCGTATCTGACAACATAGATTGAAGCGCGTCATCCTCGGAATATTGAACTATCTGCACCACTTTCTTGAACGACATACCTGTGTCATCAATATCATTCCGCATATTTCAGTCAAGCCTGATGCACACCTTCGAGTGAAGGGGGACAGTTCACGCTTGTAGTAATGAACAAGGCTCTCCATGTCCTGCTTCTGCAGCTCCATGTCCCTCTCCTTCTCCATGTCCTGCTTCTGCAGCTCCATATCCCTCTCCTTCTCCACTGGATGTCCTTCTTCTGCAGCTCCATATCCCTCTCCTTCTCCATGTCCTTCTTCTGCAGCTCCATTGCAACAGCATACACATTCAAGGTCGTATTCGCAACATCAACCCCCAGCATCTCGCACACCTGATCGACATATGAATTCCCAGAGCTTGTGGCTGAGATCCGTACCCGCCCGCGAGCGGCTGAGAAGACATGAGACAATTTCAATGCCGGCGGGACCCCGAAGCCATTACAAGGGGCAACCAGAGCTGCAAACTTGAACCAAGAAACGGCCAGGCCTAGAACAAGATATCTTGTAGGATTCATTTCAAGTGTCCTGATCACGGTGCATAACTCAGGATCTATTCTGGAGGCAACGGGTCGCAAATTGCCGCCTGTGCTGAGGAAGAATGAAACCAAGAACAAGAAAGGCGCGGGGTTTAGAGACTAAACGAAGAATGAAACCAAGAACAAGAAAGGCGCGGGGTTTTTTAGGGTTTAAGGTTTAGGGTTTAGGGTTTAGGGTTTAGAACAGATACTACACTTGAACTTAGCCAAAAGGCCGAGAAGGTATGGGTTTAGGGTTTAGGGTTTAGGGTTTCGGGTTTAGGGTTTAGGGTTTAGGGTTTAGGGTTTAGGGTTTAGGGTTTAGGGTTTAGAGGTTCCTTATTTCCTGGCAGGTTCCTTATTTCCTGGTAGGTTCCTTATTTCCTGGCAGGTTCCTTATTTCCTGGCAGGTTCCTTATTTTCCTGGCAGGTTCCTTATTTCCTGGCATGCAGTTCTGCGGTACCCCTGCGCTGGTGGAGTAAGAGCCGCCAGGAACGACGGAAGCTTGGGAAACCATTGAGAATGCTCCGAAGCATGTGGCCAATATCTGCTGATTGTGACATTCCATGGTATTTTCTAATGCTCGCTTTTGATCATTTTCGAGCGGGGTACCTCAGCCCAGGATTTTTGAATGGTCGGCGCACTGAAAATTTGTACCAGAAACTTCGATAATGGTTGAAAGTATGTTTGAATCGGGGACCGTGTCGAGCAGTTTTAGGTTTACAAGTATTCTTGCTTCCTCCAAACAACAAGGTTTCAAACATTAAAACTATTTTTGACCTTACACGCTTTTACACGCCTGGGGGGTGCATATACAACCAAATCGCCTGCCCTACCCTTCCCCCATTGCTGCATCCGCACCCGCCGGCGCAGGCGGCGTTTGTTTGAATCCCAGATGGCTCTCAGCCAATGGCTCTTTCATCATATTCAAGCTCCAGGCCATCCAAGGTTGGATCATGTGTAAATGTTTGTACTTTTTGCGGCATACTGCAAGACGACATTTCAAACAGCTCGAGCTTGTTTTTCAAAGGAAGCTGTAGGAATCAGCATCGCCATGGATTCCAGAGCCTAGGGCTGTTTTCGAATCCTTTTGATGCTCATTGCAAGATGGAGAATTGCTCGTTTTTGGTGATCAAGCATCCACAACCCTCTTTCGTATGATTGAGCTTCGAGCACATCTCTGACTGTAGAGTTGTTTGGTGTCAAGATTGTTTCTCGTAAAGGATCTCTCTGATTAGGCAATTTATTGTTGTTTTGGTTGGCATTCTACAAGACCCATACTTCCTCCTCTCTGTGTCAACCAAGCACATAAGCATAAGGCATGTCAGTCGTGTAGGCAACTTGATTGCAAATAGATCGCAAGTGTAAGATCGATGAACTATTCAACGCCATGAATGCCGGATGTGAATGAACTTCCCTCAGGACTTCTCAGTATCAGAACCAGCGAGCTAAGACATAAGGTAGAGTCTCCATTGAATATCATTCCTGCGAATGTAATGTTTTTATCAGTTGTGGGGAAGAGAAGCATGGAGACAAGCGGGTGCCCAAGCGAATAGGAGCATCTTGCGGATGTAGGTTTGGACAAAGACGGCGATGATTCCCTAGGTTGTGACACAGGCAGCGAAAAGATAATTGGTTGTTGTACGCAGCCGAACGCTCCCAGAA